TCCTCATATTCTCTTTGGTCAACATCAAGGACTGAAGCTGAAGAAAGGCACAGAGCTTTGAAAAGGATTGAGAAATGAATAGATAAATGCTCTGTCGACCTAAGGGGTGCTACCAGTCCTGAAAAACAAAGAGAATTGAGGCAAGAATTAGAAGAGCTACAAATAGCAAAGAAAGACTTGAAGAAAAAAAGAGTAGAAAAGCCATCTACTTCAGGGTATTCCTTACGCCCAAGAAAAGGGGATAAGCCATCTGAAAAAATGTGTCCAGTTGTTGTTCAAGAACAGAATTTGGAATATAAGCCTCTGCAAAATACAGACATGTCAGGCATCCTTAAAAAGTTACCTACGCTTCAGGAGGGAGCTCACCCTTGGATTTGGAAGTTGGAAGAAATTATGGTGGGATGGCATCCTGCCATGGGAGGTATCAAGAGACTCTCTGAGGAGATACTTTATTGTCATTGCACTTGTGCACAACGAAATTGCATTTACAGATGGGGAAAGAACACACAAGAGGGAGGGAGAGGTGGAGGTAAAAAAAGAGACTGCTCTCATTAATAGGAGTGTAGTGACAAAAAAACCCTCAGCAACATGAGCACATTACTGACACCACATACACAGAGATTCGGAGACATGCTATGTTTGTTGGGGGGTGGGGGGGTAGTGGAATGGGTCATCAGAACTGTTTGCTGCTAGTAGAGCTTGGATGTGGAGATCACTGAGAGATGCATTTCCAACAAATGTACATCCTGAAAACATTATCATTGAACCACTAGGACCACAGGAGACTCCAAGAGCATATGTATCAAAGGCTCATCAGATTTGGAGAAATGTTACAGGAAATGATACAGACCTGCACCAAATGGAGCAGTCTATTCTGCGAGCCAAAATACAAAAAGGGTTGCCCCAGCCAGTGAGAAGTAAATTAGCAGAGTTGGTTGGTCTTGGTAATATGACAAAAGGGATATACACAGACCATATAGCACATCAAGTGGAGTTGTACAGGAAGAAAGAGAACGAGCAGAGAGAGCATGATCAAGAAATCCTGAGACAACTTAACCAGATACATTTGAGAGATAGCAAAAAGAAGGAAAAGAAGCAAGCTTTGGTTATACAGAGTCAATCACAACCAGATCAAGCAACAGTACAACCACAGCAAGAACAGATTCAGTGCCAAACACCCCAGCTGATGCTGGTAGCTCTTTTAGTTCCATATGCACAACCAGTCTTCAGTCAGTTGCAGACATGGAGTGGAAGCAATAGAGAAAGAAACTTCAATCCAAACTTCCACGCATTTTCAGAAGCATGTTATAATGGTGGACAACAAGGCCAGTATACTAGTGACTGTTATTGAGTAGAAGAAAGCTCTATCAGAGGATGAGTGCAGGGAGACAGTAAGAAAGTTTTTGGTAAATAAGTATAAGATGGTTCTTGTCAAGGACATTGATTATTTGTGGAAAAGAACGATTCGGGAGGCCAAGGTTAGCAAATGATGCAAGGGGGGGAAGTAAAAAGAAACATCATAAAGGAATAGGTTTTTGGGCACCACATTTGCGTGAGCAAATTGATTATGTCATAAGTAGATGTACTATCTGTCTAAAAAATAATGGTGTACCAGTTGAAGCTTGTCCAACCAAGTGGAAAGATGCTCAATATTTTGCCAAGTTGTTGTGTAGGGAAGTCATAAGCAGATGGGGACTTTCAGATTAAATATTCTAAGATAATGGAGAAGAGTGTGTGGATAAAACAGTGCAATTGATTGTACAAAAACTAAGAATTGAACACTGTTTGGGAGCTGTGTACCATCCGCAAAGCCAAGGTATCTGTGAAAAAATGAACGAGGTGATGAAAAACCCTCTGGGTAAGATTGGCCAGCACACAGGTTTACATTTTGATGATATAAAGGGGGAGTATTACTTAGGGGGAAATAGGATAAACATGACAAACAAACAAAAATGTATGTTTTTAACAAGATACTGCTTAATTTTTTCATTCTCAGGATAGCAGTTGGGGAGACCAGCCACTCCCAGGGCAGCAGTTGGGGAGACCAGCAAAGAAAGGTGGTTCTCCAGAAATCTAGACAGCTTTAACGGACCCACACATCCCAACAAGGACAATCAACCATGGACAATGTAAACAGAAACTGAAACCTGACAGAGGATGTGAACAAGAACATTGCATTGGATACCCAAACAGAGAACGCCCACGGACAAGAACACTAACCAAGCAACCAAGGATGTTAAGGAGCAACAGTTATTATTCATTTTTCTAATAGTGGAGTTTTGTTAGTGTATAATCTGTGATATGAATGTCAATTTATCTCTCTGTGTTGTATTTAATGTACATGTCAATACCAAACAGTAGAGGAAGAATGAAAAATATGGAAGGGTGGTTAGTGATTCAAAGCTTAAATTGTAAAGTGAATGTAAGGGGATCTCAGGTATTTTCTTTGTTCTCTCGTTTTAGGATCAGTGGTGTTAGGCAGGGATAGGTCCACTGGAAGGTTCGATGGGACGACCAGCTTGACTGTGGATAATTTTAAGTTTTATTTCTGAGATTCCCAATAATATTTGCTTCAAATTGTGTTTCCACATAAAAGTCTAACCCTTACTTTTCAATTGGCTTGGAGTAAAATAGGTGGAGACCTAGGGCAGAGGGACCATGAGTGACATTTTCCTGTCTAGATTGTTTGATGGATAATAATGGAAAGATAGCTGCCTGACAGGTTTTCACTCTCACACTCCAAAATTTAGTAATAAATTGAAATTGTGAAAATGTCTTTCCTTTTTCGAGACTCTATGGAGTCTTGAAGGGGGGAAATATGTGGTATCTGCAGTACTACACCAACATGCATTGCCTTGAGGTATTTCTCAGAAACAGTCTGAGTCGACCAATTGTGAAATGTGGGCATGTGTTTTTCTTTTCTCTTTAATGGTACTTGGGTCGGGGTATCCTGGAAGTTACACGTTTGCGGGTCACAGGTCGCAAATCACAACTCTAGGTTAAATAAAAACCAGATGGTAACGAAAGATAGCTTGGGAACAAAGAAGGGATGTAGGAGGGCTTACATCCCTAACCATATATAACAGGGTCACAAACTCTGGTTGGGAGAGCTGGACATCATTGGCAGTCCTCTCCCAGCATCCGCGGTGCTGTTCTGATACTAGTGTTGTCTTTATGATAAACTCCTTTTATACAAGCAAGCCAGTGTCACAAAGCCTCCTTCTGCATCTACACATCGAGGACAGCCCAGACACAACAGCTTCTTAAAGGAAAATGGCATCTGTTTTGGTTGTTTGTGCACAAGGCACATCAGTAAAGATTGCCAGAAAAGGATTTCCTGCTCAAAGTGTGGCCTTAAACACCCCACTGTACTTCATAAGGAACCCGTTAGAGATTCTGAGCAGATGGAGAGGAGCGCAGAGTTGCATGTTGACAACACACTGGTGTCAAGTGGTCTCACAGGGGCTGGAGATCAGGACTGCAAACTGCCCATTGTTCCGGTCCAGGTTAAATCTACCAGAGGGACAAAAACTGTCTTTACTTATGCTTTCTTGGAACAGGGGAGTACTGCAGTGTTTTGCACAGAGAGTTTAATGCACAAACTCCACCTCACAGGGAGAAAGGGACGTATTCTTCTTTGAATCATGGGCCAGGAGAAAATTGTAGGCAGCAACATCATGTCAGGACTGGAGGTTGCCACACTGGAGGGTGACAATTTTCTTGAGCTTCCAAGAGCTTACACGCAAGAGTCCATGCCTGTGAGCAGAGGAAATATTCCCACTGAGAAAGATATTGAACAGTGGTCACATCTGAAACACATTCATCTATCTCAGATTGATGCAGGGATTGAGCTACTTATAGGAACCAATGTTCCTAAAACACTGTAACCACTGAAAGTGGTGTGTAGCATAATGATGGACCATATGCTATTCGTACCTTGTTGGGCTGGACTGTGGTCCTCTGACAGGAAGCAGTGGAGAGACTGTTAACTGAAAGCATCCACAAATAACTGTCAACAGTCTCAGTTGTGAACCTGGATGACCTCTGGCAGCAACAGTTTAAGAATGACTTCCCTGAAAGCAGCATTGAGGAGCAAACGGGAATGTCAAGGGAGGATCAAAAATTCCTGGAGTTTGTCAACCACTCAGTGAAACAGGTGGAAGGGCATTACCAGATCGCATTACCTTTAAGGAATATTGATGTGAGCATGCCAAATTACAAGAGAGTTGTTGAACAGCACCTGTGTTATTTAAAAGGAAGGTTTCAGAAGGACTCAATGTTTCACACAGAGTATAACTCCTTTATAAAAGGACCTTCTTGCTTAAGACTGTCAAGTTAAATTTCCCTTTTTCCAGCATCATTAGCTGCCCCAACAACTCAAGGCCTAGAGATCAACAGAGGACACTGTGGACAACTCAGCTTGCTTTGATTTCCTTTTATTGTAGATGGTAATCAGTGCAGAAGCAGGTTGATAACCTCAAAAGGAAATAAATGAAATGAGGCCGTCATTAAATAGGCACAAATGAATTAACTCATCAGTACTAATTTCAAAAAAGGGTTATTAAATTTAAGAATTAAACAAGTTAAATGCATGGGTAAACTATCAATTTTTAAAATATTTTAAATCATTCCAATTCATTTCAAAAATAAATTTGGCTTTTTAACAGTTTTAAATTATGCCAAATACTTAATATGTAATTCATTTTAACTCAAATATTTAATTTTACGGTCAATTTAAATCAAATCTATCAGTCTATGACGGCTTGCATAAATTTAAACAACAACTAAGGACGACTAGGAAACAACTTCATTAGTTTTAACATTATATTTTAAGCGCACAGGGCTTACATTATGTAACAGGTATTGACTGGACCCAATTGCAGCACAAACAAGCAGGTTCACTTGAACAACAGTCTTTATTTGACACAAAATCAAATTAAGCAGCAGAGTATAGCAGGTGGGTAAGGCAGATTTCGAATCCGGGTCTTCCGGTTGCCAGGCGAGCAGATTAGCGGAGGACCACACGGCAGGCAAGAAAGCTGGAACTCGTGAGCAGGGAATTGTCCACGGTCTCAATTTGCTCTACGAGTGTGGTGAAAGGGAAAACGCTCAAACTCACAGCTGGAGGAAGATTTCTGGGAGAGTGGTTCAGGCGAGGATTGGGTGAGGATCCAGAGCTTGCAATGACGCTGGCAGAACCGACGTCTGCAGAGGAGGTGAGTTGGCGAGGTGAAGCTGACGAGAAGGGGGATCTTGACAGAGCAGGAACAGGCTGAGTGCCACCCAGCCGCAGGCAGACGAATAGCAGGAAACAGGCAGGCAGAGCTCGTAGTCAGGGACAGAAGGCTAAGGCGTGAAGCAAAGGTCAGGGGCAGATCAGGTCGATACTAGGTAAGCTGTCAGGGAATGAATGCTGGAGAGTTAAGCATGAGAGCGACGACAATCTGGCAAAGAGTGAGGGGAAAGAAGCTGCATATATACTGGCCTGATTGGAGATGATGAGCAGGTGAGAGCAGCAGGTGGATGCAGTTAGCTGATGAGGGGTGTGGCTGAGCAGCAGAGCAGGAGAGGCACAGGGCAGACTGTTACACATTATCAATAAACTTAAATATCTCAAACTCTCAGTCACTGAATTAAAGTTATTTTAACTGTTAATTTGATTTAAATTAGGATTTTCTCACCACTGGCGTCTCTGAGGTCTCTTGCAGTGATGCCACCAAACACTCTCTCTGCAACAAAGAGTGACACACCTGTCCCTGAGCCTCTTTAAAACCTCTGCCTAGCATTCCCCACTCTACCTGCACTTGCTGTACTTTACCTGCCCTGCTGAGGCTCTTCAGTGGAAGGGACAAACCTGAAAAACATAAATCTAAACAGTCACATAAAAAATGTCAAAAGACTGTCCTGACAAAGACTATGCTGAGATGGTGCCCAAAGAGGAGTTGCACCATGGTGACGGGAAAGTATGGTACATACCACACCACAGAGTCTACCATCCCACTAAAAGAAAGATCAGAGTTGTGTTTGATTGTGGAGCAAGATACCAAGGAACATCACTCAATTCTCAGCTGCTAAAGGGCCCCGATCTTACCAGTTCTCTGATTGGAGTGGTTACTCGGATTAGGAAGGAACCAGTTGTGATCATGGCTGACATAGAAGCCATGTTCTGCCATGTTCCACCAGGTCCAAGTCCCTCCTGATGACAGAGACCTTCTCAGGTTCCTCTAGTGGCCTAAGGGTAATATGCATCAGCCACCCAAGTATTGGATAAAGGTGCACTTGTTTGGGGCTACATCATCTCCCAGTTGTGTTCCTAAAGACTTTAAAAACAGGCACTGGACTGTGTAGAGTTGAGAAGATGTTTCGCCTCTTATCCAAGAAGCTTCTTCAGTTCTAATTATTGCTAGTGTGAGGAGCAGATATTTATCCTACTGGAGAAAGGGACAGACAACAACTGGGAGGAGTTTGGAATGAATGGGTCAGAGAGACCCATCTCCGGGTGTTCCCCCCTGAGGGTCGTTAACCTGAAAGGGTCGTTAACCTGAAAGGGTCGTTAACGACCCCTGTCATGTGACCACATGAATCATGCCATCTGAGTCATGTGGTCTCAGGTGTGAATGTTTGTGGAGCTTCCTGGGGAGAGAGCTGAGAACTGCATTGTAAGTGCCAGAGAGGTTGCGCCTGAGTCCACCCCCTCTGTTCAGAGAAGTCTTCTCAACTCTACACAGTCCAGTTGCCTGTTTTTTAAGTCAGGCCGTTCATTAACTCCAGGCAACTGCAAAATGCATAAAAGCATTTCCAATAAGAATAGAGACATGCTTCATATTCATTCATTCCTGAGGAACTTGAACTTTCCAATCAAATAAAATCATTTCATTGGTATGCTTGCTATGCCAACAGAAGGGTGCCAAAAAATATGGCAGTATAGGTTGGTTATTTGGAAAACCATTAGAGATAGAGTTCTATAATTGTGTTTCTTGGATCACTTCACGTTAGGCTCAGTGGAGATTCTCTGTAAGTCTGTGATGCAATGTGTGGCAGGCAGGCCGACCTGAGAGTCCATTATCACGGAGAGAGTCATGACTGGTCTTTTGTTGGTGCTGGACAGACCAGCAGACTGCTTGTGGAGTGTATGACTGCAGTTCAAAGTGTGAATGACAAAGAGGAAAGTGAGTGATGGAGGGGGGAGAGAGGAGCTGAAGAGGATGATTGAAAGCTCAACCTGAGAGTAAAGAACTATGTCACAGTTATAGTACTTGAGCCAAGAACCAAAATTTCACATATCGGTACCACCTGGGTGGGCAAATTCTAGTTGTGATTTTTTTATTGCTATACATCCCTACAATAAGTTTTTATATGATAGACCTTGGTAACTGGTAGCTTTATTGTAGTTATCACTCATTGAAGTAATAGAGTGCAGCTGTTCAAGAACGAAAAATCGCCTTCCTTCAAAATTAGCTTTCTTTCATTTTAACCTCTCATTTAGGTGTGTTTGAACTATTGGCTAGCCATAGAGACTTGTAATAACCCCCTAAGTAGTATTTCAAGCAATTTTTTTAATACAGGTGTGTATATATAAGCTTCAATTAGCCAATTGTCAGGTCTAAATCAAGGTCTAAATTAAGGATATTTTTTGACTTAGAAGTAGAAGTAAAGTAAATGCAGACTAATAGCATTATAATAAAATAACCTTAATATGACACTGACATATTTTAAATGCAGGCACTCAATATACAATCATCCTGGCTGGTGCAGGGCAAGAAGACATTAGCAACAAAATAAGATCTACTGATGTATACACTCTATACAATCATCTGAGAAAAACTCCATTCCTCCACCAAGAACTTGATGAGACTGGCTTTGTCGGCAGGGCTGCAGAGAAGTTTCCTCCACTGCTGAATATATTGGCCAGAAACAATGTTTCTGAACTGGATCCCCATGTCTGCACCTCTGTTTAGTCTTTCTGAATTTTTGATTGACATGTCTTTAAATTTAAACTTTATTTCACTGAAAGCTGTTAATTTACCAAAAGATGTAAAGGCGGATGAAGGTAGTGACAATGGTTAAAAAAAGAACCAGGGTTAAGTAACGACATCCAGGGTAATAAATCAAACGGAAAAGTTCATTCTTTGAGGTTAAACAACCAACTTAATACAAGCACTAGGCGGAGAAAAACACCAATACAATAAAAATGACAGGCTAAGGTAATGAAGGAAACAGCAAATGCACTGCAGGCTCCACTGCCACCATAGGCCTGCTCAGTCCAGCCACTACTGAACCACACCATGAGTCACACATTCTTCAACCATTTCCACACAGGAGCGATGACTGGAGGGAATGTAAAGAGAGACCACATTTACATATAGTACTTGAGCCAAGAACCAAAATTTCACATATCGGTACCACCTGGGTGGGCAAATTCTAGTTGTGATTTTTTTATTGCTATACATCCCTACAATAAGTTTTTATATGATAGACCTTGGTAACTGGTAGCTTTATTGTAGTTATCACTCATTATAATCATAATACAGGTGTGTATATACACTCACCGGCCACTTTATTAGGTACACCATGCTAGTAACGGGTTGGACCCCCTTTTGCCTTCAGAACTGCCTCAATTCTTCGTGGCATAGATTCAACAAGGTGCTGGAAGCATTCCTCAGAGAGCTTGGTCCATATTGACATGATGGCATCACACAGTTGCCGCAGATTTGTCGGCTGCACATCCATGATGCGAATCTCCCGTTCCACCACATCCCAAAGATGCTCTATTGGATTGAGATCTGGTGACTGTGGAGGCCATTTGAGTACAGTGAACTCATTGTCATGTTCAAGAAACCAGTCTGAGATGATTCCAGCTTTATGACATGGCGCATTATCCTGCTGAAAGTAGCCATCAGAAGTTGGGTACATTGTGATCATAAAGGGATGGACATGGTCAGCAACAATACTCAGGTAGGCTGTGGCGTTGCAACGATGCTCAATTGGTACCAAGGGGCCCAAAGAGTGCCAAGAAAATATTCCCCACACCATGACACCACCACCACCAGCCTGAACCGTTGATACAAGGCAGGATGGATCCATGCTTTCATGTTGTTGACGCCAAATTCTGACCCTACCATCCGAATGTCGCAGCAGAAATCGAGACTCATCAGACCAGGCAACGTTTTTCCAATCTTCTATTGTCCAATTTCGATGAGCTTGTGCAAATTGTAGCCTCAGTTTCCTGTTCTTAGCTGAAAGGAGTGGCACCCGGTGTGGTCTTCTGCTGCTGTAGCCCATCTGCCTCAAAGTTAGACGTACTGTGCATTCAGAGATGCTCTTCTGCCTACCTTGGTTATAACGGGTGGTTATTTGAGTCACTAGCCACGTTTACATGCAGACTTTTTTCTCATTCGGATTATAATCATTCCGATTGAAGCTCCCAGGCGAACTGTTTACATGGAAGTGATCTATTCTGATCTGGTGTTTACATGTGCCACGGCATTCAATCGGAACAGCTATTTACAGACACGTGATACCTTCAAACATCACGTGATTGATTGATCACGTGATCTCCGACGCAGACCAGTGCATCGCGCTCTGCTTGGAAGCCGCCATCATGTTTCCATGTGAGTCATACGTCACTGCTTGTTCACATCAGGACAGAGCATGCGCAGACAGAACCCAGCCTGACAACTTTCCGATTCACCGTTTACATGACAGGATTTTGCTTTTAATTGGAATGGGAAAAGGAAAATTCTACCCCTGTGAATCGGAATGAAATTCCATTCGGAATGGGCCTGTTTATTCTGAATGAGGTGTTTATATGGAGCATTTTCATTCCGATTGGGCTTCTAATCCGATTATATTCGGAATATTTGGCTCCATGTAAACGTAGCTACTGTTGCCTTTCTATCAGCTCGAACCAGTCTGGCCATTCTCCTCTGACCTCTGGCATCAACAAGGCATTTCCGCCCACAGAACTGCCGCTCACTGGATATTTTTTCTTTTTCGGACCATTCTCTGTAAACCCTAGAGATGGTTGTGCGTGAAAATCCCAGTAGATCAGCAGTTTCTGAAATACTCAGACCAGCCCTTCTGGCACCAACAACCATGCCACGTTCAAAGTCACTCATATCACCTTTCTTCCCCATACTGATGCTCGGTTTGAACTGCAGGAGATTGTCTTGACCATGTCTACATGCCTAAATGCACTAAGTTGCCGCCATGTGATTGGCTGATTAGAAATTAAGTGTTAACGAGCAGTTGGACAGGTGTACCTAATAAAGTGGCCGGTGAGTGTATAATGAGTGCCTGCATTTAAAATATGTCAGTATCATATTAAGGTTGTTTTATTATAATGCTATTAGTCTGCATTTACTTTACTTCTACTTCTAAGTCAAAAAATAAACTTAATTTAGACCTTGATTTAGACTTGACAATTGGCTAATTGAAGCTTATATATACACACCTGTATTAAAAAAAATGCTTGAAATACTACTTAGGGGGTTATTACAAGTCTCTATGGCTAGCCAATAGTTCAAACACACCTAAATGAGAGGTTAAAATGAAAGAAAGCTAATTTTGAAGGAAGGCGATTTTTCGTTTTTGAACAGCTGCACTCTATTACTTTAATGAGTGATAACTACAATAAAGCTACCAGTTACCAAGGTCTATCATATAAAAACTTATTGTAGGGATGTATAGCAATAAAAAAATCACAACTAGAATTTGCCCATCCAGGTGGTACCAATATGTGAAATTTTGGTTCTTGGCTCAAGTGCTATGATACCTGAAAGAACTGCTCCACCATCAAATTGGGCCACTCCCACTTCATCAACTCATTTAATTAGACACAGGTTTGATTCATTTATAGAAAAGAGCAGTGTGACCCAAAAAGAGTATGACTTTTAATGTGCTTTTGACTTTCTGTGTTGCTTTTGGAGTTAACAAAAATTCGCCTATTGAGGAAAATAACAAAATGAGAAAAAATATAAAAAACTACCCCTATGAAAAGTCTATCATATTTTAATTTACTTATATTGACCCTAAAAACAATTTAGTATATGTAAGGTTTTGCCCACTCAAGTGGTACCGACATCTGTTCCGGCTCAAGGACTATTAATGGTTCTCACATACGCACGCACGCACGCACGCACGCACGCACGCACACACACACACACAAACAAACAAAATACTTTATCACTAATAGTGCTCCTTACACTATTTTTGATCTATTATTCCTTTAACAGGTTAATTAAATGTAATTATATTAAGAAAGGAACTCAATTTTGTTAAAAGGCCCCTTTTTAACATCAACCTTTGTCATTTTGGGCTCTTAATTTCTACTTTCTGCACACACACTTTGAGACAGAGCTGACTGGCATGGGGGTTGGGGCTGTGTGTGTGTGTGTGTGTGTGTGTGTGTGTGTGTGTGCAGAGCGTTTTAGTGCATGGGGGGAAGGGGTGAGTGTAGGTTGTCCTGGCATGCTGCCAGTCCCTTGGTTTCTTGATACCACTGTGTGTGTGTCTGTTTGTGTCTATTTCTCTGTGTGCGTGTGCGTTTTAGTGCCCAATGGGGGTCTGCCAGCATGACAGGCGTCACCAAGGCAACAACAGAGCAGGTTCCAGATGCAATGCATCATATTTCTACAGAAAGACACACACACACACACACACACACAAAATGAGAAAAAAACCTTTGGTTAGTCATGCTGATAAATTTGATTATGATGGACTGGGTCTCATTTAAATATTCATTTTCCCTGAAATTCTCTTTCACACTCTGATAACTTATTGGCTGCCTCGATCAAGGATTACAATTTGCCAAAATTTGAATTAGCTTGAAAATTGGTTGTTTCCTTTATTCTTTCATATGTATTTTTCACTGTTATAAAGCTGATCTTTGATCCTTGAAGTGATTTGTATTTGATTGACTGAGACTGATAGGTCCTGTCTCTTATCTGGAGGGAATCAGTGCAGTGCCTGAGAACACATCACCGGATGGTTTCATGCACCCATAAACGCCGGCGGCGTCTACTGAGGATGTACAGATATGCGGCAGCACAGATGAACTGAAAACTGAGCTAGTGACGTTCTCATGGATGACGTCACCGGCGACCAGCCGCGACCTGCGACTGCAGCTTTGGACCCGTTGTGAACACACCAGAGCACCACGCGACGCGACATGACCGACCAACGCGACGCGACGCGACGTGACGTGACGTGACGTGACGTGACGTGACGTGACGTGACGCGACGCGACCTGGTCGCGTTTGGTCTGAAGGGCCCCTTTAAAGGGGCGTTCAGACCAAACGCGACGCGACCTGGTCGCGTCGCTTTGGTCGGTCACGTCGTGTCGCGGGGTGCTCTGGTGTGTTCACACCGGGTCCAAAGCTGCAGTCGCAGGTCGCGGCTGGTCGCCGGTGACGTCATCCATGAGAACGTCACTAGCTCAGTTTTCAGTTCATCGTCCTCGGTGCTGCCGCATATCTGTACATCCGCAGTAGACGCCGCCGGCGTTTATGGGTGCATGAAACCATCCGGAGAAGGACGGAGCTAGGTGAATTTCACCGCTTGCTCCAGGAACTCCGCCTGGACGACGGCCGCTTCCAGCGGTATTTCCGTGTGTCGACGGCGCAGTTCGAGGACCTCCTCGCCCGGGTGGGAAGCAGCATCTCCCGCCTGGACACGAAATACAGGCGCTCCATCTCAGCTTCGGAACGCCTGTCTATCTGTCTGTCCCTCATATAAACGTCCCTAAGCCCCTTCCACCGCTTGCGGCACACATCCACTGCAAAGACACACACACATATGTTGAAACATGTAGCCTAGCAAGCAGGGGCAGTTAGCTATGTTTTCATAAAACAGTCCGCTCACTGAAATAAATAAATAAACCAACAAGCTTACCAAAAAGCCCGACATCACGGGCCACCTTCCCCCATGCTTCTTCTTTGGCGTTGTGGTCCCGGTACAGCCCGCAACCCACGTTGTATAGCACCGGGTGGTAGCTAACGGATGTGATTAACTGCTCCTCCATTGTGATTCTTCTTCTCCTCTTCCTTGTTTCGCCGGTTTGTTGACGTCAGCAGAGCCCTGATTGGCTGTCGCGGCACGGGGTCGCGGAAAGTCGCTCCCAAAGTTCAAATATTTGAACTTTGGGAGCGACGCGACTTGGCATCCTGCGACCTCGGCGACGCGACTTGGCGACCTGGTCACCAAGTCGCTTCAGGTCGCGTCACAGGCAGCCGGCGGTCGCCAAGTCGTGTCAGGTCGCAGCTGTCCATAGACTTTGCATTGGGAGCCGTCGCCGAGGTCGCGTTCAGACAGACCAAACGCGACGCGTTGGTCGGTGACGTCGCGTCGCGTGGTACTCTGGTGTGTTCAAAGCAGGTCCAAAGCTGCAGTCGGAGGTCGCGGCTGGTCGCCGGTGACGTCATCCATGAGAACGTCACTAGCTCAGTTTTCAGTTCATCTGTGCTGCCGCATATCTGTACATCCGCAGTAGACGCCGCCGGCGTTTATGGGTGCATGAAACCATCCGGAGGAGGACGGAGCTGGGTGAATTTCACCGCTTGCTCCAGGAACTCCGCCTGGACGACGGGCGCTTCCAGCGGTATTTCTGTGTGTCGACGGCGCAGTTCGAGGACCTCCTCGCCCGGGTGGGAAGCAGCACCTTCCGCCAGGACACGAAATACAGGCGCTCCATCTCAGCTTCGGAGCGCCTGTCTATCTGTCTGTCCCTCATATAAACGTCCCTAAGCCCCTTCCACCGCTTGCGGCACACATCCACTGCAAAGACACACACACATACGTTGAAACATGTAGCCTAGGCAAGCAGGGGCAGTTAGCTATGTTTTCATAAAACAGTCCGCTCACAGAAATAAATACACAAACAAACTTACCAGAAAGCCCGACGTCATGGGCCACCTTCGCCAATGCCTCCTCCATGGAGGTGCGGTCCCGGTAAAATGCGCACCCCACGTCGTACAGGACCGGGTGATAACTCACGGCAGTGATTAACTGCTCCTCCATTGTGATTCTTCTTCTCCTCTTCCTTGTTTCGCCGGTTTGTTGATGTCAGCAGAGCCCTGATTGGCTGTCGCGGCACGGAGTCGCGGATAGTCGCTCCCAAAGTTCAAATATTTGAACTTTGGGAGTGACGCGACTTGGCGTCCTGCGACCTCGGCGACGCGACTTGGCGACCTGTTCGGCAAGTCGCTTCAGGTTGCGTCACAGGCAGCCGGCGGTCGCCAAGTCGCGTCAGGTCACGGCTTTCCATAGACTTTGCATTGGGAGCCGTCGCTGAAGTCGCGTTTGGTCTGAACACCCCTTAATACTGTTTATCCTCCCAAATTTTTAAGATGGTTTGCCAGTAGAGGTGTCAATCATGCCAATCCTGTTTGCAGCATCAAAGTTAAGGTTGCGGGTGCTGCCCGCACAAAAAAAAAAAACAATTAGGCTACTGGACACAGGTCCTAAACGTATACCCTTTTAACAGCATCAAATAACCAAATACCACTATACTGTTCAGAAAAATAAACAACAGCAAAAAGTTGTTATAATGAAGAATAACCATAATAAGATGAATCATGTTTGAGAAAAATTACGACACATATTTTAGGATTGAAGTTAAATCCATGTCTCATCTGTTAGCTTTCTGACATATATGACAGCCAACCCATGGGAATATAAAGGCAATATATCAGTCATTAGTTGTATTTTGTTTATATTTTAAACCACTGCAACAGTTCAAAATAGAATTGGGAGGAGTTAGTAGGTATAAAATTTTGCTAACTGATAACACGTCACATCAAAATAATCTGCAATAAGAAGCCTTGCACAGCTCATCCTCGCTTGTTGACACTGTAGCAAAAACATTACCTCCTCTCTGTTTATGAGCATGTGACATATAAAAGACTACTACTAACCCTTTGGGAGCTACTGAGCCCAAACTATCTCTGATATGGAGTTATAGAGTGAGACTTTGTCCTGCACTCCAGGGAATGGCAGCAAACCTGATGAATGCATTTCTGTGTTGCCAAATGCTACAAAGCATTTAAAATAGCAATGGTGTTTGATGTTGTCACAGTTGCATCATTTATGTTAAAGCTCTGCATTTATAAAATAGACTAAAATTAACATTGCTGTATTTTTTTTTTTTCAGTTTTTTTTTTTCCTTTTTTAATGGACAGGACAGAGAGGAAACGCGGGAGATAAAGAAAGGGGATGACATGCAGCACTTGGTTGGACTTGAGCCAGTAACCACTACGGGAACCATGGTCCCCAAACGTAGGACATACTAACCCACTAGGCGATCTGCACGTCCCATTGGTGTCTTTCTATATGAAATCTAAAAGGCAACATCAGCAACAATATTGATGATTTTTATATTGTACTTTTTAATAAACTAATGTCAGGGGGAAGGTGTCAGCCAAGCAACTGAGGACACAACACAGTTGTATGAAATATTCAAAATAGATTATACATGTGATGATCAAAAGTCAGGAAGATGATATTTTTTTGTCAGAAGATGCTACTTAAAAGTGAATGGCCTGTAAATCCTTCTTTATTTGATGGAATGCAGCTGAGATTTGTTTAGGACACACGTGATGGGGTACCAGACAGGCACAAAAATCAGCTCCAAGTTTCAATTAACTGCGCCCACGTGGCACTATAAAATGTCCAAAAAAATAGCATACTGTGACAATGTGATAGATATGCACAGCCACATGAAATTTGGTACACAGATCAGGAGGGGTGTCCTCTTCAGGGCTCCAATGTCAAAATGGAGATCCAACGGAAAATGGCTCCACAGTGCCCCCTACAAGATTTCAAAAATTCAGCCCGCCACTGTGACCCACAGCCATGGAACCGGGGCTGCTTATAAAGAACCCCAAGATGAACAAAAAGCCTCTTGCACCCATAGGCCACGCCCAACCGGAAGTTGGCCATATTGGTTTGAAAATATGCGGTTTGAAGTTTTCTCCCACTTACAAAGCTCTTTTCAAAAAGTATACCCTCTTAGGGATTTATAAATAGAAAGCCAAAACTGCAGCCAGAGGTACCCACAATAGTGTAAGACTGATATAGAACTTTTTGCGATGAGGCTTAGTCTGGGAACAGCTTCCCCTTAAAGACAAGTAGGGCTTTTTGCAAGCGAGTTTCAACAACACATCAATATGAATTTCAGGCCATTTCATAAATCCCCTAATAGGAGCTTTAAACAGGAAGGAGATGAGTTGAACAAAGACCGCTTTGTCCATTGGGAGTGCCAAAATTGTTACAAAGTAAAAAGTTTGTCATAGGAGCTTAAAGATGTTCCTGCAAAGTCCCAAGAAAAATTAGCACTCAGTGAGGACTGAAATTTCATTACCAATATTCCAGCAGATGTCTCATTCACTCTGTTTAAAGATGCCTTCAATGAAAATGGTACATTTAAGTAGAATTATGAGAAATAAACAGACTTATGCTTGAACAGTGAATTGAAATGTTTATTTCATTAGTAATAGAATAGAATAGAATAGAATATTCCTTTATTGATCCCCCATGGGGGAAATTTTTTTGTCACAGCAGCATCACAGACAAGACAGAAAGTGCAAAATGCAGTTATAACAATAAGGGTCCTAATATTAAGAACTTAATAAATGTAATAATTAAGAGAAAAAAAAAATTGAAAAAGAGAAAAGGGAGAAGAAAAAATAAAGCTTTCTGCAATATACACAATTTAAATGCCATAAAAAAAGTGGTGGTGTAAATCCAGTTTTGTTACTGTTCATTGTAAAGTCTTATTGCAGAGGGGAGGAATGATCTGCGGTAGCGCTCCGTCCTGCAGGGTGGGAGTCTCAGTCTGCTGCTGAAGGAGCTGCCTAAAGCCCCCACAGTCTGGTGCAGTGGGTGAGAGGGATTGTCCATGATGGATATAAGCTTTGTTAACATCCTCCTCTCACCCACCTCCTCCAGGGAGTTCAAAGAACAGTCTAGGACAGAACTGGCCCTCCTGACCAGTCTGTTCAGTCTCTCCCTGTCCCTCTTGGTGCTCCCTGCCCCCCAGCAGACCACTGCATAGAAAAGTGCAGATGCTACCACAGAGTCATAGAAAGTCCTGAGCAGAGTCCTGCACACTCCAAAGGACCTCAGTCTCCTCAGCAGGTGGAGACGACTTTGGCCCTTCTTGTACAGAACGTCTGTGTTTGTTGACCAGTCCAGTTTGTTGTTGAGGTGGACACCCAGGAATCTGTAGGACTCCACCATCTCGATGTCCAGACCCTGTATGTTCACTGGAACTGTTTGAGGTGTCCCCCTCCTGCGGAAATCCACAACCATAATTCAGACTATATGACAGCCTCTCATTGGATTCTTGCTCACCATGTTGGGATGACCACCTACTCTCATATAACCTTTACCTGTTCTTATTTTCTCTACAGTAACACCAATCTACACACTCCCAGGTGCTCAAAGTAAAGACCACCCAGTGTGTGTGTGACAGAAGTTTTGTGTAAAACAAAAAGCAAGATATAAAGGTCTGTACCATTAAGTGTATCCATAGAAATCCATTTATGCAAGACTGTGTGCAGAGTGTGTAGAGTTTCCATTTGCATAACTTATTTATAACAGCATAGTGTTACAGGCAGCCTGAACACAGACATTTTCACAGCAGAATCCCTCTCCCTGACCCACTTCTGTCTAAAACAAATTGCTACTAAGACCTAGTCTACATCTAACCCTTCGCAATAGTTGCCTATGAACTGTGAGAGCAACGGCCAGTGTATATTACTTTACTTTGCATCTTCTCAAGTGAACTTAACAATATGGAGACCTATAAATGGATCAACACTCCCTTGGTCTGAGTGCAGACCAACCAAAGAAAATAAGGAGTGGGTGGTGTTGTAACTCTTCAGTTTCAGGTCTATTAGAGAGCTGTGTTTATTTATAATGCCAGCTCTGTTTCCTTGTTACTGCCTCAGTCTTCAGATCCAGGCCAAAAGTTTGTGTAAGCCAAAAAGGATCAATATTATATCAAAGAAGTCTTGTTGGTAGAGTAACAATCCTACAGATCAAAATCCTGAGCAGAACCTGCATGTATTTGTCATTCTATCCTTAGGCTTTATAAAATAAAAACCTAGTCTCTATTATGTCATAAATTAGTTTCTGAAGTGGAGTTTTAAAGCATTTCGACAGCAGTGGCCACACTGAAAACACCCACTAAACCTAATGCCAAACTTGTACTTGTTATTTTGGTGGAAGCAAAACTAATACTCTGAATCATTTGAAAGACAAATATGGTACTTTTGTGTGGTGAGACGCCTCCTCCTTTTGTTTTATTTTGGCTGGACTTCCTGTGTTTCCGTGTTTGCCTGGTCTGGCTTTACTTTCTTCCAGAGCTTCCTCCCCTCCCCTGGTTGCTGAGGCTGAGTGAGACTACACACCTGCTCTTCATCTACAATCAAGGCACTTTAAGAAGCCAGCAGCCCTCAGTCTCAGCACCTGAGTATTGTCTTCACTTCCAAGTGGTATAGACGTGTCTCCTGGCCTCCTTCCTTTGAAATTAGTATTCGTAATTCTGCTCCAGATTCATTGTATGTTCACTCACTTCCCTCTCCTCTTTTTTTCCTGCAGTGTCTCCAGCCCACACGACAGTCAGCCAACGAGCCTACCGGACTTCCTCTTTCTTGCCTTTAAACCTGAGTTTGGACATTAAAATTACACCTAAAGTTGATCTCTGTCTCTGTGTCTCTGTGTCTGCTTCTGGGTCCTCACAACTCACCAGTCACGCCACAGAATACTCAGGCCAGGATAATGGACCCAGCAAACCCGGATAGGTTTCAGCAAGCTGTCCAGAAGTGGGTGGGGGGAACTAGAATTAAAGGGGATATTCACTCGTGGTCTGTCCGAACAGCTTAAAGACGAGCTTGCAGCTCGGGATGAGCCCTCCTCCCTTGAGGAGCTAATCACATTAGCCATTAGGATGGACAATCGCCTCAGGGAGAGACGGAGGGAGAAGAAAGCACATTCCCCTGCACATAGCATAGACTCCCCATCCTCTGTTGCGGTCAGCGGGTCTCCTCTGCAGCCCTCAGTCTTTCCGGATCCGGCGCCCTCTGCCGAGGAACCCATGCAAATTGGCCGCACCAAATTACATCCCGATGAACAGAGACGAAGGATAGAGCAGAAGCTCTGTGTGTATTGTGGCCAGGCCAGCCACTTTCTGCCCAACTGTCCTAATAAGTTAAACGGCCAGGCTCATCAGTGACAGAGGGCACCCTGATGAGCCACACCTCCTCTGTTCCTAGCTCTCCTAGACGCATCTCGGTACCTGCTTGTCTCCTGTGGGGAAAAGAATCCACTTCCCTCCAAACCCTCATTGACTCTGGGGTGGATGACAAATTCATTCACGCCGGACTGGCAGTGCGGCTTCAGCTCCCCCTGGAGGTACTCCCAGTTCCCCGTAAGGTCACCGCTCTCGATGGCAGGGTTATAGCCACCATAACCCACTGCACTGCTCCTCTCACCCTCATCCTGTCGGGAAACCATCGGGAGGACACCCGGTTGTTCCTGCTTCCCTCTCCACACTCACCCCTGGTGCTGGGACTCCCTTGGCTGCAGATCCACAACCCCCAAATGAACTGGTCCACATCTTCGATCTACGCTTGGAGTCCTCACTGTCACTCCCACTGCCTCCGCTCCGCCAATCCCTACATCCACTTACAGAGGCCAGCATCTCCACCGCCATCTCTCACCTCGGTTCCCCCCCATTTACCATGATCTGGCCATGGTGTTCAGTAAGGAGCAGTCTCTCGTCCTTCCTCCTCATCGCCCATATGACTGCGCCATAGATTTGCTCCCTGACGCCCCTCTCCCCAGTAGCAGACTGTATCTCTCGGCCCGAACGAGAGGCCATGGAGGAATACATCCAGGACTCCTTGACATCTGGACTCATCCGGCCCTCAACCTCTCCCCTTGCCGCTGGTTTCTTCTTTGTGAAGAAAAAAGATTCCTCTCTCCATCCCTGCATCGACTTTCGCGGACTCAATGAGACCACCATAAAAAACAAATATCCCCTGCCACTCATCGATCCCTCCTTTGAACCTCTCTGCAAGGCCACCATCTTTTCCAAACTGGACCTCCGGAATGCCTATCACCTGGTTCACATCAGGGAGGGGGACGAGTGGAAGACGGCCTTCAATACACCCATGGGCCACTTCGAGTACCTCGTCATGCCCTTTGGCCTCACCAATGCCCACGTTGTGTTCCAGGCTCTCATTAATGACATCCTCTGTGACATGAACAACCAATTCGCCTTCGTCTATCTGGACGATATCCTGATCATCTCCCGCCACCTGGAAGAACACCAGCAGCACGTTCGACTCGTCCTCCAGCGCCTCCTCGAAAACCGCCTTTTCGTCAAACCCGAGAAGGGAAAGTTCCACGCCTCCTCCGTCAGTTTCCTTGGATACATCATCGCCCAGGGGGAGCTACGCCCAGACCCAGAGAAAGTCTGTGCCGTCCGTGACTGGCCCACTCCCTCCTCCTGCAAAGACCTCCAGTGATTCCTCGGCTTCGCCAACTTCTACCGGCGCTTCATCAGAAACTACAGCAAGGTGGCTGTGCCCCTTACCCGTCTCACATCCCTCAAGGTCCCGTTCTCCTGGACCCCCGAAGCAGACGCCACCTTCTGTCAGCTCAAGTCCCTCTTCATCTCCGCCCTGGTGCTCAAACACCCGGATCCCTCTCTTCAGTTCGTGGTGTAGGTCGATGCTTCGGACTCTGGAGTGGGGGCCGTCCTCTCACAGAAGGATTCTGAGACCCGGAAGCTCCATCCTTGCGCCTACTTCTCCTGGAAACTCTCACCCACTGAACGAAACTACGACGTGGGAAACCGTGAGTTGCTGGCTGTCGTGTGGGCACTACAAGAATGGAGACACTGGCTGGAAGGAGCACAACAACCTTTTCTCATCTGGACTGACCACAAGAACCTGCAATACCTCCGCTCCGCTCGACGCCTCAACTCCAGGCAAGCCCGCTGGTCCCTCTTCCTCAGTAGATTCAGCTTCACCCTCTCCTATCGTCCAGGCTCCCGCAATCTCAAACCAGACACCCTATCTCGGATCCATTCCTCGGCTACCTTGGACCCCAGCGAACCAGACACCATCCTCCCTGCCTCCTGTGTCGTCGGCTCCGCCTCTTGGGAGATCGACACCATCGTGGACCAGGCCCTCCGGAACCACCCAGACCCGGGAACTGGCCCGCCTGACAGAAAATTTGTCCCTGAGGTTGCACGTTCCCAGGTCCTACAGTGGGAGCACTCCTCCAAACTCACCTGTCACCCCGGGTTTCAACGCACCCTCCAATTCCTCCAGCAGCAGTTCTGGTGGCCGGGAATGGTCCGGGACGTACGGGCGTTTGTTGCTGCCTGCTCCGTCTGTGCCCGAGGCAAAGTCTCCCACCAACCTCCGGCTGGCTTGCTGCGTCCCCTTCCTGTGCTCTCACGCCCCTGGTCTCACATAGCCCTAGATATCGTCACTGGTCTCCCTCCTTCTGAAGGTAACACAGTCATACTCACCATGATTGACAGATTTTCCAAATTTGTGCATTATGTCCCGTTACCCAAGCTCCCGTCTGCTTTAGAAACTGCTAACCTCCTGGTATCTCATGTGTTCCAACTACATGGTATCCCCCTTGACATAGTGTCAGATCGTGGTCCCCAGTTCTCCTGTCAGGTCTGGAAAGCTTTCTGCCAGGCAGTGGGCGCAGCAGCTAGCCTCTCCTCGGGTTACCACCCGCAGACCAACGGCCAGACGGAGTGGGCCAATCAAAACCTTAAGTCGGCCCTGTGGTGTGTGGCGGCCCATCATCCAGCGTCCTGGAGTACGCACCTCCCATGGATCCAATACGCCCATAACTCCCTCACCTCTTCGGCCACAGGTATGTCTCCCTTCATGTGCTGTTTTGGTTACCAGCCCCCCCTGTTTCCCGAACAGGAGCACCCGGTGGCCGTCTCGTCAGTGAGGGAGCACATTGGGCATCTACGGGAGGTGTGGAGATCCGCCAGGGCCGCACTCACCCGCACGGCCGAGCGCAACAAACGCCTGGCTGTTGTTACCGCTCTCCAGCACCAGACTATCGTCCCAGTCAGATGGTCTGGTTATCGTCCCGTGACCTTCCCCTGCAGACAGAGTCCCGCAAGCTGTCCCCCGGCTTCATTGGTCCCTTTCCTATCCAGAAAATCATCAACCCTTCAGTGGTAAGAATAAAAATTCCTTCAACCCTCAAAATTCACCCCACATTTCATGTCTCCCTGATAAAGCCTGTCACCTCATCAGGCATGAAAATGGGTCAGGGGTTGAAAAGGTGAGAAGCGGAGGGGGTGAAGAGTGATTGAAGATAATTATTAGTATAATAGTATAAGTTATTATTTAGGAGAATAAAGTCATTAATATATAAGAATAAAGTCGTAGTTACCTGTTGTGGAGGAGAGTTGCTAAAATCAGCACTGAGGAGCATTTAGATGAATTGTACTTTAGTATAGGTTTCACAAACATGGAGATACTTAATCATTTAGTACATGAGCGTTACACTGTCAGAACTTTAAAAAGAATATATAAGCAATGCTGCTTTTGTGGAGGGGAACATGGCTGGAAATGGCTGCACAGAGGCTAAATTCATCAATGCAGCTGTTAAAAGCAATAGCATAGGGCTTTAGTTTATCATATGAGTTTATATGCCATGAGGTGTTGAGGTCTCTGCATGTGTAGGTTACCGACTTACTGTAATCATCGGGTCTTTCTCGTCCTCATAAAAACCTGCTCTATTTCGGCGAGTGTCTGTCTTCTTCTGTAGTCAAACCGCAAGATATCAAAATCTACCCGGCTACGGCAATGCTGCTTTTTGATTGGCTGTTCAGTAGATATACTTTATTTGATTGGCTTCTGAACTCTCGGAGGAACTCACTTGATTTCCACCTGTTCCATTGTTACAGAGGTGCAACTTTGTAGACATCACCATGTTCATATAAATGCGTGAGAAATACAATGTGTGGCGTGTGAACGGGTGGGAATGCGTGTGTCACACGCTGAATGCGTGAGACTTGAGAGCCCTGCAGAGCAGTAAACCCGAGACGCCCGCTTTCGCTATTTTAGACGGCTCAAAACTTGGATTATTTCGCCTTGTTGTGTACTTTCAACCGCGCTCCCGTCAGGGGGGCTTTCTATGTCAGGGGTGCATTCTACGGCACAACACCGGCGTGGATAAGTCCTGCTTCTCGTTCTCGCAGCTTTGCAATGCTACCACAGGCTCTCCGAGCACTCCAAGTACACGTGAAGAGTGTGTGCATGATTGGAATAATGGAACGCAGTTTGGCCTATGATTGGTTCTCGTCAGCGAAGGAGCCAGGAGGATTTACTGACCGTCCAAGTGTCATTTAAAGGGCCGATTTCTGAAGTGCTCAGTTTACGTATTGAGTCAATCACATGATAATAAAAGAAATCTCCCGACCCCGACCCCCCCCCCCCTAAAAAATTTCTCCTCGGATCTACACGATTCACGAAGGTCACCCTTTTTGATTTCAAAACGGCGAATTGCACCGAAAGGTGAGAGATTTTCATGCCTGCCTCATGCACCCTGAGCCCTCCTTCCGTCGCCCCTCCACCCCCCCCCCCCTCGGTTGATTGACGACCACCCTGCCTTCACAGCAGAAACAACAGCAACAACAACAACAACTGCTCATGTAATGGTGAAGAAAAAAGAGTTCAGTTTACAGGGTTAGGATATGAGTGATTATGGACAGTGTTAAATTAATTGAGTGTGATTACAGTTAGCAGTTAGCAGGCCTAATCGTGGTCAGTTCTAGTTTATGTTATTAATGTCAGTAATGTCAGTGAGGCTGATGTTCATGTCTGCAGTAACAGTTCAGAGGAATCCAAGAGAAGAAGGGGCTCAGGGCCTGAGGCGGACAATCGTAGACGATGCAGCTAGAGTCAGGCAGGTCTGCAGCAGACCAAAGGGGGAGGGGGGGGGGGGTCTGCAGCAACGGTCCAGAGGAGCAAAAGAGATGGAGGAGCTCAGGGCCCAGGGTGGACAATCAGGGATAATGCAGCTGGGGTCAGGCAGTTCCGCAGCAGACCGTCTGCAGCATTAGTCCAGTGGCAGCTAAGAGATTAGTGACTTATATGGGACATAAAGATCTAAAGAAGAGATAGAAACAGACTCTAGCTCAGTGTGCCAGATAGCCCCCGCAGTCTAGACCTATAGCAGCATAACTAAGAGCTGGTTCAAATCAGCCCCGACTATAAGCTTTAACAAAGAGGAACGTTTTAAGTCTACTCTTGAAAGTTTAGAGGGTGTCTGCCCTCCGAACCTCGAGCGGTAAATGATTCCAGAGGAGAGGCGCCTGGTAGCTGAAAGCTCTTCCTCCTATACTACTTTTAGAGACATTTGGTTCAACGAGCAGGCCTGCAGATTGTGAGCGTAACGGTCTAGACGGAAAGTACGGTTTAACAAGCTTGTCGAGATATGATGGAGCCTGGCCGTTAAGCGCTTTATATATCACGAGGAGGATTTTAAACTCAATTCTAGATTTAATAGGGAGCCAGTGAAGAGAGGCTAAGACAGGAGAGATGTGCTCCCTTCTCCGGTTCTAGTCAGTACCCGCGCTGCTGCATTTTGGACCAGCTGAAGAGTCCTTAAAGACCTACTGGAGCAGCCTGATATGAGAGAATTACAGTAGTCCAGTCGAGAGGTAACAAAGGCATGGACCAGTTTTTCTGCATCGCTCTGAGACAGTATGCGTCTAATTTTTGAGATATTCCGCAGGTGGAAAAAAGCTATCCTAGAAGTTTGTTGGATGTGGGAGCTAAAAGACAAATCCTGATCAAATAAAACTCCCAGATTTCGCACAGTGGGGCTGGATGCCAGGCTGATGCCATCAAATGTAACTAAATTACTAGAGAATGCCTCTCTAAGGTGTTTAGGACCGAGGACCAGAACTTCAGTTTTGTCTGAGTTGAGCATCAGAAAGTTGTTGGTCATCCAGGATTTTATATCCTTGAGGCAGGCTTCCAACCTGGCAATCTGGCCTGCTTCCTCTGGCTTCATGGATAGGTATAGCTGGGTGTCATCTGCATAACAGTGGAAATTAATCGAGTACTTCCTCATAATTTTACCCAGCGGAAGCATGTACAGGGTAAAGAGGATCGGTCTGAGCAGTGACCCTTGCGGCACTCCGTAGCAGACCTTGGTGTGTGCAGAGGATTCATTATTAACATGGACAAACTGGGATCGATCCGTGAGGTACGATTTAAACCAGGAGAGGGCTGATCCTGCTATGCCTATAGATTGTTCCAGTCTCTGAAGCAGGATGCAGTGGTCGATCGTGTCAAATGCAGCACTAAGATCTAACAGGACTAGAACAGAGAGAAGACCACTGTCCGAGGCCATGAGTAGGTCATTTGTCACCTTCAGCAGAGCAGTCTCTGTGCTGTGATGGGTTCTAAATCCAGACTGGAAATCCTCCAATAAACTGTTGTTATGAAGAAAATCACAGAGTTGATTCGCAATAACTTTCTCCAGGACTTTAGAAATAAAAGGAAGGTTGGATATTGGTCTATAGTTAGCTAGGGTGCTTGAGTCCAGAGTAGGTTTTTTAAGGAGAGGCTTAATCAATGCAGTCTTGAAAGACTGGGGAACATATCCTGTTAATAAAGACGTGTTAATCAACTTAAGCAGGGACGTACTGATCAAAGGAAGAGTTTCCTTCAGCAATTTGGATGGAATTGGGTCCAAGAGACACGTAGATTGTTTGGCTGCCAGCACCACTGACTTTAACTCAGGAAGGTCAATAGGTGCAAAGTTACTAAGGTGCACCAGAGGCCTTAGGGGCTCCTCAACATTTTTAGGGTTATCTAAGAGAGAGACACCTGATGAGGGCAAGAGGTTACTAATTTTACCTCTTATTTTTAAGATTTTATCATTGAAGAAGCTCAGGAAGTCATCGCTGCTGAGGGCTAAAGGGATACATGGTTCAGCGGTGCTCTGACAGTCCGTCAGCCTGGCTACAGTGCTGAAGAGATATCTGGGGTTATTCTTATTTTCCTCAATAAGAGACGAGTAGTAAGTTGTCCGAGCACATCGTAGGGCCTTCTTATATTTATGAAGACATTCCTGCCAGAGAAAACGAGCTTCAGCTGTTTTGGAAGAGCGCCAAATCCTTTCACGTCTTCTTAATAACTGTTTCAGCTCACGGGTTTCAGCATTATACCATGGGGCTAGCCTCTCGCGTGTAATAGTTTTCTGTCGAAGAGGAGCAACTGAGTCTAGAATTGATCGCAGTGTGCCTGAGGTATCATCGACGAACTGATCGAGTTGCAAGGGACTAATGTTTAAATATGGATTATAACTTTTTTGAAAGTTCTTCTCAACCACAGAATTTAGAGCAGACGGAATTACCTCCTTGAACTTCGTCACAGCATTTTCAGACAACTTTCTAGTTAGCACGGCTTTGTTATAAGGAGAGTAACCTGAAAGCACAAATTCAAAAGTTACTAGAGAGTGATCAGATAAAAGAGGATTTAATGAGCTGACTAACAGGGCTTCAGCTTCAAGGCCATAAGCCAGGACAAGATCGAGGGTGTGGTTAAAGCAGTGCGTAGGTCTATGTACACACTGCGTAAACCCAATTGAATCTAGCAAGGACAAAAAAGAAATGCTTAGGCTATCATTTTCCACATCTACATGAATATCAAAGTCACCAACGACGATGACTTTGTCTGCGAGAAGGACTAAATCAGATAGAAACTCTGAGAACTCTGACAAAAACTCAGAGTATGGGCTCGGAGGGCGATAAACTATAGCAAATACCAGTGGTCTCATGGACTTTGAGGCTGGATGCCGGAGACTGAGAACAAGACTTTCAAAAGAGTTATAATCCAATTTTGGTCTTGGGTTAATTCCAAGACTGGAATTGTAGATAGCTGCAACTCCGCCACCTCGGCCAGAGTCCCGAGGAATGTGAAAGTTTAGGTGGCTAGGAGGAGTGGATTCATTTAAGCTGACATATTCATCCTGACGCAGCCAAGTTTCGGTTAGGGAGAGTAGATCAATGCGATGATCAGAGATTAGTTCATTTATTAACACAGATTTGGAACTTAGAGACCTTATATTCAGTAGACCACATTTTATCTTACTAGTACTTGGTTCAGCTATGTTAGCAGTTTTAATTCTAGTAAGGTTCTTGTTATTTACTCCTTTTTTAATTGATCGGTTAGAATGAAAGAGCCGAGTACGAGGGACAGACACAGTCTCTATGTTAAAGTGACAGTAGCTAGGAGGCTGCTCTAACAAAAGTGCAGAGGAACGTGTAGAGCTGTGGCTATGCTCCCTGATTTCTATATCAAACTGATTGTAGCTAGGAAGCTGCTCTGAAGGGAGTACAGTGGGGCGTTTTACACTGCGGCTCTGCTCCCTGATCTCTATATCAAACTGTCTGTAGCTTGGAAGCTGATCTGAAGGGAGTACAGAGGGGCGTTTTACACTGCGGCTCTGCTCCCTTGTCTCTGTGTATAAGCTGTAGTGGATGGGAGGCTGTTCTAAAGGAGGCGCAGGGGGGCGTGTAGGACTGCGGCCCTGCTCCCTGATCTCGGCTTTGAATTGTCAGTGGTTCGGATTAATAAAATCGGCCAGATTTCTGGATAAACGGGCCGCTCCATCTCGAGTGGGATGAATGCCGTCCCAACTAATCAGACCAGGCTTGCCCCAAAATGACTTCCAATTATCAATGAAGCCCACGCCGTTTTGCGGACACCACCTCGACAGCCAGCGGTTGAATGATGAGATACGGCTACACATCTCATCAGTTGTCTGATCAGGCAGGAGACCAGAGAAAACTACGGAGTCCGACATGGTTTTGGCATATTCACACACCGATTCCACGTTCAATTTAGTGACTTCCGACTGGCGGCGTCGGGAGTCATTAACGCCGACATGTATTACAATCTTACGGAATTTACGTTTAGCCTTTGCCAGCAGTTTTAAACTACCTTTGATGTCGCCCGCTCTGGCCCCCGGAAGACACTGAACTGTGGCCGCTGACTTCGCTAATTTCACATTTCGGACTACAGAGTCTCCAATCACAAGAGCGTCGGGCTCAGCAGGTGTGTTGCTGAGAGGGGCAAATTTGTTTGAAATGTGAATATGGTGGTCTAACGTGGGCTTCTTAGGCCTACTGCTATGCTTCCCTTTCACAGTGACCCAAGCACTACTACATCCCGGCTGCTCGGGATTCGCCGGGGGGGAGGCTAAGCTAGGTCGACCCGCACCGGCTACCGTGTCCTGGCTGGCTACCGCTACACTAGCATCGGTGCGGAGCCGCTTTTCTAACTCTGTAATCCTCGCCTCCAGAGCTAAGAATAAACTACACTTAAAGCAGGTATCGTTATCGTCTAAAGAGGACGAGGAGTAACTAAACATCTGACACACTGAGCAGAAGCGAGCAGGAGAGGCAGGAGACCGGGGGGAAGCCATCATTAGCAAGTGTAGCTAAGAGAAGCTGAGCTAAGAGAAGCTAGGAGCTAGTAAAGTAAATGATCAGAGAGATCACCCGGAGTGGAGATAAAGACGGTGCTTGGTGAAAACTATCAGAAATACTTACAGACTTTTTGAACAAACAGATGTACTGATAGATTACAGAGAGAAAATAACCCAAAATAGCAAGAGCGCTTTCAGGAGGAACAAAACGCTACACACAGTTCAACAACAAGGAAGGGAATGAAGCAATGCGCACGCTCACCAGTCAGGAGGAGGAGTCCACGAATCCTTTAGGCATACTGATGTGCGGCCTCGGGGGCGAGGCTTCCAATATCTCGTGGACTGGGAGGGGTACGGTCCAGAGGAGCGGTCCTGGATCCCCTGCTCCCTCATCCTGGACCATCAACTCCTTGACGACTTCTACACCGCTCACTCCAAGAAACCCGGCAAAACGCCAAGAGGCATTCATTGAGAGGGGGGTACTGTGGTGAGACGCCTCCTCCTTTTGTTTTATTTTGGCTGGACTTCCTGTGTTTCCGTGTTCGCCTGGTCTGGCTTTACTCTCTTCCAGAGCTTCCTCCCCTCCCCCGGTTGCTGAGGCTGAGTGAGACTACACACCTGCTCTTCATCTACAATCAAGGCACTTTAAGAAGCCAGCAGCCCTCAGTCTCAACACCTGAGTATTGTCTTCACTTCCAAGTGGTATAGACGTGTCTCCTGGCCTCCTTCCTTTGAAATTAGTATTCGTATTCTGCTCCAGATTCATTGTATGTTCACTCACTTCCCTCTCCTCTGTTTTTCCTGCAGTGTCTCCAGCCCACACGACAGCCAGCCAACCAGCCTCCCGGACTTCCTCTTTTTTGCCTTTAAACCTGAGTTTGAACATTAAAATTACACCTTAAGTTGATCTCTGTCTCTGTGTCTGCTTCTGGGTCCTCACAACTCACCAGTCACGCCACACTTTTGGCTCCAATACTTGTCTATCAATGTTCTCCAAAGTCACTACTTTTGCTCTAAGGCCAGCTTAAATTTTTTTGATTTCTTTCTTTTTCTAATTCTCTTTTCTTTTGTGTTCTTCTCTTTCTCTCTTCCAAAATCCAAGCCAAAAGACAATAAAATGTGTTAGTAAAGTTTTGTGTAGTTTGTCTAAGTTGTGTAGCCATATGTGTAAAATTCTTGTCTCTGTGGTTGAACACTTTAGTGGGGGTGGTTCTTTCAGGTGTTCTTTGTCTCAAACTCTGTTGTGTTATCTTGCTATTCCTTCCTAACCAGTCAGCATCTCAAAAGACAAAAAGTCCATTAAGCCATATTTGGTATTAAAAAAAAAGATTAGTTGTCAACACAACAGCTAATATAAACCTGCTAGCTTGTAATGTAACCTCTCAAAAATGTGTGTAAAATTTTTCCCTGTCTTGCTTATTCAAATGTTAACTTGTCAAATGCTAGCTTGCAAAATTTTAGGCTGAGTAGCAAACAGAAAAATTTGTGAGTTGTAAAGAAAGCTTGGCTGAACACTATTATTAGCTGCCTTACTAAAGTCCGACTAATCAAGGTAATGTTGAACTGCTGTGTCCCTGATTGCATATTGTATTAGAAACATGTCAAATTAATTTTTTATGACTATCTGACTGACTGACATCTGAAAATAAAATCAAAACAGAGATCTGGAGAGGTAATGGATCATATTTAGTTAAATATAGTAGCAAATGGTAAGGGCTAGCCTTCAACAAAAACATAGCTAACATGATCTCCTCATGTTTTCAACGTGCAAAGTTTAAATTAGTTGCTAATTTCAATGTTGGCTAGCTAGCAAGCCAAATATACGTCAGCTAGCTAACTACAACAGTAGCTAAAGGTATAGTTAGTGGGGCTGACTGCTAACTTCAGCTGTTGGGACAGTAATGAAAAATGCTGCTAAACCAGATTTTCAAGGTTTTTATTTCAAGGTCCTTTCACACCGGGACCGTTTTTATCGTGCGATTACTTCGGACGTCAATATTTTTTTTAGAACCCATTTCCTGTCAATACAAGCGTTTACATCAGTGACGTTTTCCCGTCCTGTGATACTGCGGCATTTACTTTTTTGGATCATGGTAGATTTTTCTAAAGTTTCGCATACTGTGTGTCCACTGACCAATCTGATTGCGTGTTGTTGCGACGTCAGATTTACCGGTATACCCAACATGGCTGACCGGCTGATTGTTTACGTGTCGGAGAATGGAGTGCTTTTTGATAAAAGACACAAACATTACAAAAGATAACGACCTGAAGGACAACTTGTGGAGAGTCATAGCGTGAGATCTCTCATATGACGATGGTTTGTGTGCTTTAACAGTTTGCTAAACGTCCTTGTTTTAACTTTCATCTGCGCTAAGGAACTTCAGCTCATAAGCTAACCTGTTCAGATATAACATACCATATGTATTTTCACTGTCTCAAACTCAATCGCATTGTTGTCACAGCACCATTAGGTCTCGGTTGTTACCTTACGTTTATGGATTACAGTTTAATGTGCTTATCTGGTACTGGCCCCGACTTAGTACATGCTATAATGACAGACAGCCATCTCAACACTAGTGTCTTATCAGAACTGAAAAACAGTCAGTCTGCTGTTGTGTCAGTCTTCTCGCTTCCAACCAGGATGCGTCTTTTATCCCCCTGGAAAGTCGCAAAATCGCATCGGGCTTAATGTGTATAGTCAGGCGTGTCAAAATTTGCCTCAGAATATTTCGTAATTTCGCGTCGGATATTTGTGTTGGTCCCGGTGTAAGGACCTTTGCACTTTATCAGTCCCTGACATAAAGAAGCAAAGCAAATATTTAAATACTTATGTCAGCTCTACATGAAACACAGCTATGTAACATAACAGTGTTTTAGCCACTGACACAGGCCATGATCTCAGAGGAAAATAGCCGCTGTATCACCACAATTACAGGACTGCCTCCACGTTTGATAGTCTAATCCAAATATTTCAGGCCGTCATACTAGAACTTTAAGCAGCAACACATGTCATAAATCTAAAAATAGAAACTTTTCCTCTTGGTGTCTCCCTCTCTGTCAATGTAAGGGGAGTGAGGAATTTGATATTTGCTCCAGTGGGGTGTGCTGTCTCATTGTGCTTTAAAGAGATACCAGCTAAGAAGCATTTAAGATTTCAAGGATTGTATTCCTTGAACTTGATGACCCTAAAGCAGCTGTCTCAAACCTTATCTGTTCTTTTTCTAGATTTGAAATTCGAATCATTCTCTTTCATCTTTTCATCTGTTTTTCTTTACGTATCATCAATCACAAGATCTTACTGAGACCAGAATTCTCCTGTCATTGTTCAGATACTCACATGCTTTATCTTCTGTCTCACTCTTATAATTTCTTCAGATGAAACATCTGGGTTCTTCACATTGATGATCAAATCGAGCTCCATTCATTTTGTACAGTGCTACATGTCAGACTACATATTCGTTTTCTCACATGCAATTTGCGTTTTATTATTAATTATAAAAAATATCAGAATAGTGAATTCTGCAAGTAGTAAAAACATTCATGTTGAAACTGACTCGTTAGGTTTACATGCACAGTAAAGTTAAGCTATGGTTATAGCGTAATTATGCGATTTAACTGGACTACAGTTATGAGTAGCTTGGTATATTGCATTTAATCTATGAATATGAAGAGTAATATGCATGATTTTTGACTCAGGAAGACATTTTGGATTTAATCTGACCATAAAACAGCATGCCAATCTCTTAACAGTGCTCTCAAGCCCCACCCCTCTGCACATTACTTAGCCGCTGAGGCACTGAATAAATAGAAAGCTGAGCACTCACCCAATCAGGAATGTACATGGGTCAGTGACAAATAAGGGTTTGCATCATGAGTAATTCAAAAATGTTTTGATAAATTGAATACATATGAGCACATACATACTCACATATATACACATTTCCACACACAACACTCTCTAGGTTGTGTATTTGTCTGTAATAAAGTCACATACCCACTTGTATCCTGAGGTTGGACACAGTCTGATAGACAACCATTAATAAGATGTCTAGACAGCACAGGCGTCAGTCTGCCCTCTGCTGTGTGTCCAACACACAAATCAACAGAGTGATAGGAGGAGAGAGGGAGCAGAGAGGGTCTGAATAAATATGTATGATCTGTTTCCACCTCCAGGAGACACTGATTCATCCTGGACTCCTCTTAATGTGCACACACACACACACACACACACACACACACACACACACACACACACACACACACACACACACACACACACACACACACACACACACACACACACACACACACACACACACACAGGAGAGTGTCTGAACCTGGAGGTATGTAAACAAACAGGCGCTCACACACACACACAAACACATCACTGACATGTCTCCTTACTGATTACTCACACAAACAGTTCAGTTGTCCTCACCTCATCTTTTTAAAGACCTGATCTGATCAGTTAGATTTTATGTCACAGTTTTAGATTAAAGCAAATTAAACCAGGTATTTTTTAAACACTGAACTGAACTAAATGAAAGAAAAATTGAGGGTTCTGATCAGGGGATCAGCTGCTCTGGTCTAAGATAACAGATAACTTTGAACATCACATTGCAAACCCCCCTGTCTGTCTACGTCTCCTCCGGAGTGTCAGAATGTTTACATGCACAGTTATTCAACTTAATTGGACTACTGTCCTTATCACGGTGGACATGCACAGGGAAAAAGGCTATGACATACAGAAGCATGCTCTCCCTCCACTTGCCCCCTGTCAGTTTGTTAATACTGTCCATTCCCAGTAGATCAAAGGCAAATTGAAACCATTGACAAAACATGTTAGCAAAAAGCTAAAGGGATGTATGTCGATAACGAAAACATGTCACTTTCACAGCTCTGTAGTGTGTTTGTATGAAAGGAAAGTTCTGTCTGTTTTACTGCTTCCCTCTTTCATGGAGGTTTTGTTTGCTACCCAGCCTTCTTGCAACACATTTATATTTGTGCTCTTCAGCTTCCAGCAAAAAGCCATGCGTGTGAACACTGGAGCATAGGCAGATCACCTAGGCCCATTTCAGTCCGACTGTGCCGCATACATGAAAGGTAAAATCAACCCCAACCACAGCTCAGTTTTGTTTGGACATCTACTGCCCACTACTCCTGTATGCAACAAGTGTCGCTGCAATGCTGGGGGTGTGAAAGGGGCTCATAGCTCTGCAAAGTGGTTCTCATGTTGCCCTAAAATACCAGCAAACTAGCAGCAATAATACTTCTAAGTGTGGCTCTTTGGGATGGTCAGGAACATGTTAATGGGATATAGCTTGTAAAAACTGTAGCACACTGCAAAGGCGAGGAGAAAGAGGAGAGGTCGGATTTAATCTGTTCTTTAACTCAATAGGACAACGCTGGCCCTTGGCAGACACACACACACACACACACACACATACACACACACAGACACACACACACACACACACACACATACACACACACAGACACACACACACACACACACACACACACACTCAAACTCATATACACAAACGCACACAAAGCCAGGGTAGCTTAAGATGCTCATTGTTATTCTGCACACAGTTGTGGTCATGGACAGGGCCATGTACGAGGGCAAACACATAAACATACGCGCACACACACACATACACACACACACACACACACACACACACAATCATGACATATTACAAATGCTAAATACCACACAAGATTAAGGAACACACAAAAGCAGCAACAATTTGCATACACACCACACAATGGCACCTAACACCACTCCCGCCCACACACACACGTGCACGCACGCAAGTCCACACACACACACACACACTCACACACACACACACACACACACACACACACACACACACACACACACACTCCTTTCGCGCTAGAGAAACATCTGCTACCATCAATCAGCTTTTCTACTGGCAGCTAAAACTAAGTGCAAGAGAAAAGACAAAGTAGAGAAAAACTTAGAGTACTACACATTACTGCTGAAGAATCTTGCCTTTTAATATAGTGACTTCACCAGCTTTATTTGGCATGTTATACTACAACTCTCCACTAGGGGGTGCTAAACGTACAATGCGATACTCAAACCTGACCTTCTGACATCTACGTTATTTAGCCCAGAGTGTTTGGTTTCTTATAACCTCTGTCCTGGGATAGACTTGGGTCAGCGTTTGACTCTGTGCTGTTACTGTCTCTCCTTACCACCTGAAAAAGGCTTTTACCCAACAGACAGTAGACAGTTGAATCACTCACCCTTGGGCTTCATAAAAACTTATTTTTATATCAGTTCTACCGCAAATGTAGTCAGTGACTATAGCCTAAAACATACAGTTTATTTGTAAGTCATTATGATTTTAGTTGTTAATTAGTCCATTTTGGCCAACCTCAGGATCAAAATGCAACCATCACATTATTCCAATTATAAAATATGTGATAATATATAATAAAATAATAATATAATAAAAGAAAAAAATACAAAAATACTAAAAGGGGTCATTTTTATCACTTTTGAGTCTTTTACTTGGCATAATGTCATTAAATTTTGCGGTATTAACCCTCTTAATCTTCATGGTCTCAAACAATCCCAGTTTATCAAACACAGGATAAGATGTTAACTCCTTTGTGCGAGCACATGCCTAAGAGTGATGAATGGTAGAACATCTTCTTGTCGCCTTGGTGATGAATGATGGAGAATGGGAGCTGGATATGCATCATCAGTAGTGTAGCCTTGGTTCCTGGGATGTTTCGGCCTCCACACTATACACCCTCCCCAAGGTGGCCAGCTACAGGCTGATCAGACCTGTGCTTGCGTGAGTCCAGACTCGTCACGAGATAGATGGTATCTTCTCTCATGGGACTTATGCAAGGCAGGGGCGTCCTACTCCCTGAGTCAAGCCGAAGCTGACCGCATACCTGAAGGCTTGCTACTTCGGGGCCCAACAGGGGTCCTTCCGCCTCATGAAAAGCCACTGGCTGCTTCTTTCAGCTGCCTCCGATGTAGCTTTGATGGCTGAACGCTGGTTCTGGCCTCTGACTCCCAGGTCAGTGAACAGTCTGGTGATAGATCTTGCCACAAATCCTCTACATCCCACCTCCACTGGGCGGACTTCAGCGCTCCAGCCACGGTGTTGTGCTTCAGCAGCGAGATCGGCGTAGCGTAGGTGTTTTCGCTCATACGCCTCATCCACTGCGTCCTCCCAGGGTACTGTGAGCTCGATGATGTACACCTTCTTTAGGGAAGGGGACCACAGCACCAGGTCAGGTCTCAGGGTGGTTGTAGTAATTTCTGGAGGAAAAACCAGCTGTTGGCCAATATCAGCCATCATCCTCCAGTCACGGGCTAGGTGTAGCTGGCCTCTCTCAGATGGTGTGGAGCAGCTTCTGGCTACCTTAGCCCCCTCACGGACAAAGGTAGTTGCCGGTTGTTGGTTGGATGCTGGTGGTGGTAGGGAGTTGGTGGCAGCTCGTTTGTCCTCTAGAGTGGATGCAAGGACCTTTAGGACCTGGTTGTGACGCCATGTATACCGTCCTTGGGTGAGACTGGTTTTACACCCTGTGAGAATGTGTCTGAGGGTGGCTGGCATGGAACATAGGGCACACCTCGGGTCTTCACCAAACCACTGGTGAAGGTTAACTGGTGATGGAAGGACATCGTATATAGCTCTGATGGAAAAGCTCAGCTGTCTCGCTTCCATGGCCCACATGTCCTTCCAATTGATCTTCCTCCTCTCCACGCTGTCCCATTTTGTCCACTGTCCCTGCTTGCCTAGAGACACTGCCTTGGCCCATCGTGCAGCCTCCTACTGGTGTCGTACCTCCTCCACCACCATCTTCCTCCGTTCTGTTGCTGTGGTCTTACTCCAAGCTTGGCGGGTGGCTGTTAGCCCAAGGCCTCCTCTTCCTTGCTGGAGGTGGCCCACAATGTCAGCATGTTTGAGGGCGGCAGTTGCCTCCTCCACTGCTTCGGTTAGTCTCCACTTGCGGCCAGTTGTTAGGGTTGGTGCATTGTTGCTCACCACTGTGTCTCTGGATTCATTCAGCGTCATCTGGAGTCTTGTTTTTGCACACTTGAATTCCTCCGTTTGACTGGTGAGGGGCAGTTTGAGGATGCTATCTCCGTAGAGGCCTATGTTGGTAAGGCATCGTGGAACTCCAAGCCATTTCTTGATGTATCCTGTGACTGTTCTTTCCAGCTTCTCTACAGTTGAGATTGGTACCTCATAAATTGCCAGGGGCCACAACATCCGGGGTAGGAGTCCAAACTGCCAGCACCAGGCTTTTAGCTTTCCAGGCAGTTGGGTGTTGTCAATGGACTGTAGGCCACTGCTGAAGTCATTGCGCAGTTGTTGCACTTGGTCTTTGTCCTTCAGAGTTGCATCATACCACCTGCCAAGGCTTTTTACAGGCTGCTCGGACACTGTTGGGATTGGGTCTTCTCCGATGAAGAATTTCAGGTCAGAGAGCACTCCCTTTACAACTGAGATGCTTCGTGACTTGGATGGTTTAATCTTCATGCGGGCCCAACTGATGTTCTCTTCCAGCTTTCTGAGCAGCCTCCTGGTGCATGGAACAGTGGTTGTCAGCGTTGTGATGTCATCCATGTACGCTCTGAGCGGCGGGAGACGCGGACCGGAGTCAATCCGCTGACCCCCTACAACCCACTTTGAGGCTCGGATAATGACCTCCATTGCCATCGTAAATGCCAGAGGTGAAATAGTGCATCCTGCCATGATGCCTATTTCTAGGCACTGCCAAGAGGTGGTAAAGTCAGTGGTGTTGAAGCAGAACTGCACGTCTTGGAAGTAGGATTTAACCAGGGCCGTGACGGAGTCTGGTATGTGGAAGAATTTGAAGGCAGACCACAGGAGTTCATGGGGCACTGAGCCAAAGGCATTGGCAAGGTCCAGAAAAACTACGTGGAGATCCCTTCTCTCTACCTTTGCCGTTTGGATCTGGTGCCAGATCATGATGAAATGTTCTGAATGTTCTGATTCCCGCCTTCTGTACAGATGTGTCGATGTACTCGTTTCTTCGCAGATACTTTCCATGTTGGAGGGCCAGTCGGAATGTGATGTTCAGGTGGGTTAACTGGTGGGATATCTGAAGGAATGGACAGCTGCTCATTTCGCCTTGGGTCAGAGTGTATTGCTTTCAGGTGAGCCTCAAGATCAGCCTTTGTTGTTTTTAGGACTCCACTTTTCTCCTTTGTGAAGATACCCTTTAGGAACTTAAAAGGATCTTTATAGAAGCGTGTTCTAGTGTGTTCTTTGCTCCTTTTACGTTTCCGTAGGTTCTCTGCTCTGCGGAGGGATGCCAGTCGAGTTTTAATGTCGACCTGGAGAGCAGTTATGCCTTCCCTTTCCACTCCAGAGGCCTTTTTCCACTGTTTCCTAAGTTGTCTCATTTCTAAGACAAGGCGTTTGATCTCTTGCTGCCTCCTAGAAACTGGCGCGGTGGTGACCTTTTTCCCACCTGATCTTTCCAGCACTCCGAAGCGTTCTGACCCATATTGATAAATGATATCTCCCATCCTCTCCAACTTCTTTTCCACTGTCCCTCTGAGTTGCTCGAGAGACAGGGTCAGATCAGTATTGACAGTTTCCCACAGCTTCTTATCCACAGCACCGGGCCATTTCACGTGCAGTTTATGCCCTGCCAGTCTACTCTCAACTGCGGGTCTAGAAGGTTGGGTCGGTTCTACCATTGATGTCATCACCTCTGTGTTTGTTTCCTCCACGACAGTGGTATTGATGTACTGCAAGCTATGGTTTGCATCCAGTTGCTGTACTTCATTCGACTGATTTGATACCTTTCGCATAAAGGAGTCAATGCGAGGCCTCTGTCTCTCTTCTGTCAAACACTTCTTCTTTCCCTGGTGAATTCTCAACCCCCGATACGATGTTACCTTCGTCCACCCACATGGACATATCTGCTGCTTGTGGCCTGCTGACGTGGATGCATCTGCGGCAACTGCTGTGGCACTCTCTTGCACTGTGCTCTTGTTACTCATAGTCGTTTCCGGTCCAGGGTCTGTTACCATAAAGTCAGCCGATGAGTCATCTTCCGCCCCCGCTCTCGCAGACTCTAGGGGTGTTCTCTTTTGTCGAGTTTTCGTAGCTACAGCGGGTGATTCCACATGCCTACGGCATGGGAAACTACAAACATGGGAAGCTAACCCATGCCTGTCCAGTGGGGACTGTCAGCTGTCTCTCCACGCCGCCACAGGGACTTTCCCCTGTCGTCAGCTGATCTTTCTCAGCAGTCACTGGACTCAGTGTCCAGGTACTCAGTTTATCAAACACAGGATAAGATGTTAACTCCTTTGTGCGAAATTTAAGAAAACTATTGTTGAATACAAAATTAACTCCATATACATAAACACTAACCTAAAGCTCTCTAAAGAAGTTCTGGCTGTTAATGATGAAATGTAAGACTGAGTTTTGCCTCTTTTTGGCCTAAACAGAGCAAACAAGACCTTTAGCAACAAGACTCACTATCCCTATGGGCTGATATTGCATGTACGTACATGTAAATACAATTTTGAAGCAGATAAATTCAGTTTCAAAACATGGATTTCAATTTCAAATCATGCTTTTCAAATTTAAAAGCGTTATACCATTTTGTTTTCTACTGGCACAAATCTTAGCCCGTATATCCGTGTCATGTCATTTTTATTGTCAGTATCTGAAATTGAGAGGGTAGGTACCAGAAGACCGACAGCACAGTAACATGCAATAATAGAGTAAAAACACCTCATCAAAGTAGAGTAGACAGGGAAATCTATATAAGCTTCCTTAAAATTATATAAAATGCATAGACATCAAATTATTTTTTATGCTAGTGGACATTGAAACCTTTTTACGACATCTCACAATGTTGCAGTATTTATTTTTACATACACATAGGCGCAAATCCCAGGGGGGACCGCAGGTGTTGTGTCACCCCCTTCCATAATGTTTTCCCCCCTGCTGTACACACAAATAAAAAAAAAAACATATACTACAGTGATTTTTGTTTGTTTACAGAACAAATGTACAAAACAAGTTAGGCTACTTAAAAACACTTTATTTGACAAATGTAACTATTGAAAGATGCCCCCCCCCCAAGAATGTCTCTCTGAAATTTTACTGTCTATTGTCCCCCTCAACAATAAAAAGGGATTCTTGCCCCTGTGCATACAACCGTTTTTTGTATTGCTTTGTTTTCTCCACTGCCTTAAATTATGAAGTCAGACTGAGTTGTCTCACACGGCAGAGTGACAGCAGGTCTGTCATGACAAAAACAAGTGTATGCAGCTGCCACTGGCCCCCAAACAAACCAATCTGCACAAACACACACACACACACACAAACACACGCACGCACAAACAAGAGTGCATACAGCTTGGTCCTCACCAGGCAGTGCTGGCATGGCGCCACACATCACGGGCACAAAGGATGGAAGGAAACCCGGACACAAAATGAAAGGCAAAAACAAAAAAAGAAGAGGCTCAAATAAGAAGAGAAAAGGAAACAAACAGGCAGCGGGACAGGGGAAGTAAAGAAAGCTAGGAGATAAATCTGACAAAGTGTACCTCGTTTTTGATCCTCGGCACATTAGGGAAGCAGGAGGGATGTTGCGCCTGATTACTACAGGGTCCACTTGTCTGTCTGTCTGTCTGTCTGCATACCTGGATCTTTGTCTGTAACCACGTCTGTCTGGTGTCTGAGTTTTAGTGTGCCTTCGTGGTCAGTGCAGGCTCTGTGTCCAGGTGTTTCTCCATGTTTAAATCTGCGTTTCACTCCACTAACCTTCCTTTGTGAATACCTGTCTCCTTGTCAGTCTGTACAAGTCTTCATGCATCTGTCTTTTATCTGATATTTCTTTTGCATCCAAGGCCAGCCTGAAATATGCAGACACAATCAGC